CGAGAGCCGAAAGGGCGAGAGAACGCAAGAAGCGGGTCGCCGAACAGAGTGCCGGGGCGGAAGCGAAACGGACGCCGCAAAATGCTACTGGGCACCGCGTGCGTGATCTTCCCTTCCCCGAAGTCGGAAATGTGCCTGTAGATGCAGAAATGACGGAGGAAGAATGTGAAGAGCTAAGGAATGCTGAAACACAGACAGACGAGTTGCGGTATGTGTTTAGGAACGTGCCAACTTACCAAAATTCGAAGATTGCTGAAACACAAACAGATGAGTTCCAGTACATGTTTGGTGCGTCAACCTATCAACCCCCAAACAGAGAGTACTTTCAATCTGATGATAAAGTTAGATTTTATACTGGTCTACCTTCCTATGAAGTTCTTATGGTTGTTTTTGATCATGTTGCCCCATTTGTTTCACGCCGAAGTCAGAATCTAGATAGTTTCCAGGAGTTTATGATAGTTCTCATGAAACTCCGCCTTAACACGCCCTTGAAAGATCTGGCGTACCGGTTTAATGTATCTCTGTCAACTGTTTCCCGAATTTTCAACTCATGGATAGTAGTAATGGACGCTAGATTGGCTTGCTTCATTTCGTGGCCAGACAGAGAAAGATTATGGAGGACTATGCCAATGTGTTTTCAGTACACCTTTGGTAAGAAAGTGACTGTTATCATTGACTGTTTTGAAGTTTTCATTGACAAACCCACAAATCTCCTGGCACGAGCACAAACCTTCTCATCCTACAAACACCACAACACCATCAAAGTGCTGATTGGAATAACCCCTCAAGGATCTATTTCATTTGTGTCAGAGGCATGGGGTGGCCGTACATCTGATAAGTTCTTGACAGAGAACTGTGGCTTCCTGGATAAGCTCCTACCTGGAGACACAGTGATGGCGGACAGAGGGTTCACCATCGAGGAGAGTGTTGGACTAAAACAGGGGAAGTTAGTTATTCCAGCCTTTACAAAAGTGAAGGCGCAACTAGACCCGATAGATGTGGAAAGGTCAAGGGGGATAGCTAGTGTAAGAATACACGTGGAACGGGTGATTGGTTTACTGCGTAGAAAGTACACCTTTTTAGAAGGCACAATCCCCACAGATTTCTTGGCTTGTCGTGAATCAGAAGTACCAATGATCGACCGAATCATTAGAGTATGTTCAGCCCTTGTAAATTTCTGTCCTCCAATTGTACCCTTTGACTAAGTTTCCCACCAGCCTTTGTTTTGATCTGAGGTGAAGAGCCATGTTTTTTTCTTCATTGTTAGAATATTCATGTTGAATCATTGATACCTGCTAGGAAAAGTCTTTGTTTTGATCTAGTAGTGAACTGCTAAGTGGTTTCCTTTTTCATTGTTAGAATATTCATGTTGAATCACTGATCACCTGCTAGGAAAATTGAATTTGCACCGAATTGACACAATCATTTAACACAGAGAGACTCATTCTGTATCAGTAAAGCAACCTTGTTCACACAAGGATGTTAATTGAATATGTAAAACAAAAGTCTTTTGATTCCTGACAGGAAAAAGTTGTCACTTTCATGCCAAGGTTTTATCTTTTGGTTGGCGTCAAATAAACACATGGTGTAAGGACTCCAATGTACCTTCAAGTATGGATAGGGCAGTCACCTGTCATTGATTTGTGAATGTTGGAGTTAGGGTTACAGTTAAGTTGTACCGTGGTCGTGGCAATATGACATGAAAATAAAAATACAACAAACACAGATGTTCTGAACCTCTTGTACTTCATTTTATTCTAAGTCAGATTCTTCAAAGCATCAGAATCACTTAAACGAAGTTTAGGCTGGAATACTGCATATTTACATCATCATATTCTATTTACACATATACATAAACATATACATATACAAAGTAACAAAATAGCATCTCTATATATACACAAGATAGATCTATCCCATACCACATGTGTCTACAAAGTTGGGAACATGCTAATTGCGCCTTGCTTTAGACACTGCAGCAAATGCGGCCGCATTCTAGGCACATCAAATGTTACAACCCTAGGATCAGTTGCAAACACAATACACGTGGCAAATGCAATAGAAAATACTCCACAATCACTACTGTTAGTCTGCTGCTGTACAGGTACATAATCTAAAGAGTCTAAAGTACCTCCAAGCAAGTCATCCGTCTGTTCTTCTACCTCTTGCGATACAACATCATGATACAGGCTGTCAAACAGATTTACCTTGCCTGGCAAACACCCTACAGTACTAATACACACCCAGTGACCTTGACCT